AGCAACGTCGAGCTTGGTCAGTGCCTAGGTGGGTGACCGCTTGGGAATACCAAGTGTTGTAAGCTTGCGTATGCGGGTGGTGTAATTGATAATAGCCCAGGATTGTTAATCGGAGTTCCAGTTTCAGTGAGGTTCATTATATTTACTTACGCGAAAATACTCTTGGGAAATGGTATAAAAGTCATGAATCCATCTCTCGACCAATTTTAATTACTAGGACTTGTATCACTAAATCATTAGTATCTTCCCCACGGAAATTCTTACAGTCTGGCTTTAAATAAACTGTAAAAGGTTGATAAGCCGTAAAAAAACAAAAAAAACAAATCAATTAGATCATAAAAAGAAATTAACTAAAATAACGAGTATTATTGAACTGAATCCGGCGTTCAAGTCCACAGAGGTAATCGTGGATTTTGCTTCTTCAGCCACTGGATTTGGATGCGTATTGTCAACTGTTGAACCTGCGTTTTATTATTCGAAATTTATTTTTACTACTTTCGGCTTTGAATTTATGAAATCTTTCTTTTCAAAATATCTTTCGAGGAAGAGAGATTTCTCAAGTTCATTAACCATTATCACTTTTTATTTTTCAATATTGATGGCGGCTTTCTTCCTAACCTTTTATTCAAAGTAGCGTGAAACGTACACATCTTATGTCATTATTTTCTCGCTGTTCCATGTAGTTGTTACCGTTGTTGAAAGTCTTCAAGTGATGTGGTTTCTCCTTTTTGAACAGTCCTTTGTTTGTAATTCCCGAAGAAGAATGGTTCTCTCTAAGACCTACAGGCTTTATTCGCTCGAAGCCATTTTTAATCATTGATATGAGAAAGTGGTTGTATACTGCTGATAGTTCAGATATTTCTGAGCAAGTTTGGTGTCGTGAATGACATTCATATGAAAGTCCCGATTTGACGAGGCTGTTTATTTAAGAACATGACTCTAATTCTTAGATTAGGTTTTGTAGCAATTTGTGACATTAGGGAAAACTACCTGTAGCACGGAGGAGTAGTGGATAGCGGCTCGGATTGAGGAATCGGAGAGCCGAGTTCAAATTCCAGTTGAATCCGTTACATTCACTTACATGCTAATACCTTTGAATCCTTTTCTTCTCTCACCCCCACCCACTCCAGCTATGGGTAAATAGAAGAACAGACCAGATTCTATAGCTTTGTATGGCAACTGGTCCACCGCAGAAAGAAATGGCAACCTACTGCGGGAAAAAAATCTGCCTCGTCAGTCATGTATTGAAGTATACATGATCGCCTAAGCGTGTATCACGCATGGTACATAACTGATTGACCTCTAGCGCAAACTATTCTATGTTCAATTTCTTTTGTTATAATAATTAATCTTACGATTACTTTTTATCTATACTTTTCCTTTGAAGTGCGAGATACATATAGGGTGACGTTGCTAAAACGTTTCCTCTTTGTTTCTATAGAAATTGCATGGAATTGACGTATTTTATTGAGAATAAAGACATACACAGACGCGCATCTCGTGTAAACGGATAGCGACTCAGGAAGAGAAATCGACGATCAGAATTTGAATGTACGCCGATTTCGTTACGTTTACTTTCGCACAAATACCTGTAGGAAAGAATGAATCTCTCACCACCCTCCAGCTATGGGTTAAATAAATAAACTAACTAGTCTCTTTAGCCTTGGATATGAACCAGTCTAGAAGAATGAAAACTCTGAATTCAAAACTAGCCTGAAGAGGGATGCGCTTTGTCAACCTATCTTGCCACAGACACACCACTGATACAACAGGTTACGGAACTCGTGATCGTGATGATATACATACACACATACGACCCTCCAGGATTGCTACCAGATTTTCGCTTGAGCATTTTAAATATATTATACTTTATTGTGCCATGATTCTTCCGGATGTAGGCGATCATAATTTTCCGCCAATTCCATTCTTTAAGTATCTGTGAATTTGATTGATTCATTAATTTTCTACGGCTTATCAACCCATCACAGGTTATTTAAAGCCAGAAAATAAAAAGTAATTTTTGTAAGAATTTTAATTTTGGAGATAATAATGGTTTAGGGGTACAAGTCTTACTAATTAACCCATAGTTGTGGGGAGAAGAGGTGGATTCAGACCTCTCGCAACGACATTTGGGTGTAAATATAACGAATCGCATTGAAATTGAAACTCGGGTCTTCGATTAACAATCCCGAGCCATTATACATTAAACCACACGCACATCTAAGGTTACAGCAAGCGGTTACCGATACTGACCAGGCCCGACGTTGCTTAACTTCGGTGATCGTACGGGATTTGATGTTTCATCGTGATGTGGCCGTAAGCGTCAATATCTGTGAATCGCCATGACACTTGGGGAATATAATGAAATGATTTCCTTCTACTTACTTCCTGGTTCTTGAATTCAGAGTTGTTCATCCCCTGGATTGATTGCTAGAGTCTAGCCTACTTTAATGTTTAACCCATAGCTATTGGGAGACTAGATGGAATCATGCCGTTACTAAAGGTGAGTAGTGCGAAAGTGAATGCAGTCGGCCAAACAGGAAATTGAACTCGGCTCGCTTATTCCACTTTCTGCGCTGATAACTCTGACGCTACCCACACCCACGGATTATACTAAATTGATAGTAAAAGCAGTTTATTTCATAGAGATTGCAAAACGTACGAAATGCTCTGAACAGGGTACCAAAAATAACAAGTTTAAAAGTATCGATTTGGTACGAGCGTACTAAAAGATTTTTCTTATCGTACATTATACATATATATATATATATATATATATGTATGTGTGTGTGTGTGCACTGAGAGAGTAAGAAAGAGAGAGATAAATATATATGCTTGTGTGTTTTTTATAGTTTTTTCTCATAGTTTTCTTTTTTCTCTTCCCTTTTCTTTATCTTGTAGCCACCTTCTCTGTTTAATCACTCTGTTCTCTGTTTCTGTTTCTCTTCTACTCACTCTCTCCCTCTTTTCTCTCTCTCTCTCTCTCTCTCTCTCTCTCTCCCCTAACTTCTTCTTTTTCCCCAGTGTGCGATGTGACCGCTTTCTCAGCTGTCTACAAATTTGACCTCAGCGCTCTTGACTGAAACTCAACCGTCCACCAAAATGTCACCATATTTATTTATTTCTGAATTTGTTTGTTTGTTTTTTGTTTTTTTTTGTTTTTGCTTTTTTTTGTTTTTTGTTTTTTTTCATGATTAAACGATATCTCGATAGTAACACTTAAAAAAAAAAAAAAAAAAAAATACCTTCATTGGCTTTCAGGAACTGAACCAAAAATATTTTTCGTGTCCACTGGGAGAAGAGCAAACGTAAAAAAGCAAGAAAGTTTCTGGAAATGGAAAACTCTTGAATTTCCCAAACGTTTACCTGAAGTACTTTAATATACTTCAAAAGTATGTCCTTGTGTAAAATATTTACTTGAATCAGTTTAAAAAACATATAAATGGACTCGAAAGAACTTTCGTTATATATATTTTTACATATTTTAATAAGTGGTTTCCATGTTCAGACAAAATGAGTTAAAGATCAAATGCAAATCGGAATTCGACAGGATGATAAAATAAAGAACAAATAGGAAATGTATCTCAATCTAACATGTTCCACTTTTATTCTCTCTGACGAAGCTGTAATAAAAGTGAAACATGTTAGATTGAGATATGTTTCCTATTTGTTCTTTATTTTACCATATTTTAATAATCATATAAACTGCTTTATATTTATTAATATCCTAATTTATTTATTTTTTGTTATTAATACAGTTATTCAGTCGTTATGTTTTTTATTTATTTTTTATTTTTTCTTACTTTTATTTTTTCTGTTTTTTATTTATTTTTTGTTATTAATACAGTTATTCGATCGTTATATTTTTTATTTATTTTTTAATTTTTTTGAAATTTTAAAAATTTTTTATGATTTTATTTATTTTTGTTGTTAATACAGTTATTCGGTCGTTATGTTTATTTTCATTTATTTATTTCTATTTTAAATTTTTTTTTCATGTTTTTTTTTAAAAAAATTTTGTTATTAATACAGTTATTCAGTCGTTATGTTTTCTGGCCATCTGAATCAACCCGAGTAACCTTTAGGGAATTGCGAACTGAATTCTTTATTTTATCTACGGAGTAGTGTTCTCATTTCATTGTCCATCTAGAACTTCTTTTTCTTTTTATGTGTCATGTCCTTTCAGGGGGTAGGCGATCATGGATCTACACCCTCCTCTATTTCTTGCAGCTCTCAACAAATTCCTTTTCTCTGCTACCTCCACCACCACGCCAGACCACGTTCTGTCATCCACTTGCTTAAGGCCGCTAGGTATGTCATGCATTGTTTTTCCTTGTCTCTCTTTCCCCTAATTCGACCCGTGAGTATCAGATTCTCCAGACTCTCCTTCCTCATTATGTGCCCCAGAAACTTCAGCTGCTTTTCCCTGATGTTAAGTATAAGCCTCCGCCTTGTTTGCAACCTCTCTAAGACCTCATCGTTGCTAACACGCTAGGTCAATAATGTTCTTTTTGCTTGCAAGCTGTTGCTGCCACGTTTGACTTCCTTCACCTCTCATAACTCGTTCTTACTACTGCTGCTTCTGATGTAGCCCTTGGGATTATGGCTCCCAATTCAAGATTCAGGACAACGGCCTGAGGATTAGTGCGTTAGTTCATGAATTTGGTGACATTGTAATTGTGAGTTTGATTCCTGGACCGAGTAATACAGACTCATTGGGTTGACTGATTGATTCGTTTCCTCTACATCTTATCATCTCTTTTCAGGTTATTTAAAGCCAGAAAATATTTTTAGATTGTAAAATTTGGGGGAAGGGGAGATAATAATGCTTTACTGATACAAGTCTTAGTAATTTACTCATAGCTGGGGAAAAAAACGGTGTATCCGTACCTTTGGTATTTGCGCGTAAGTAAATATAATGAACTCAATTGGAATTAGAACTCGGCCCTCCGATTAAAAATTCTGAGCCATTATCCATTACACCACCTGCACATCCAATCTTACAACACTTGTTATTCCCAAGCGGTCACCCATCTAGGTTCTGACCAGGTTCGATGTTACTTTACTTTGGTGACCGTACAGGAACCGGTGTTTCAACGTGATATGGCCGATCATGGGCCTTTTCCACCGAGTATAGACACTCGGTGGAAAAGACCCTAGCAATACTTGAAGAGTATCACAAAAAAGGAGACATTTCTTGGCATGGACCGTGTAACAAAAACATGCTACTCCCATAGATTAAAACAAGGGAACATCTCGAAGTTTACTCGGATCGACAGATATCTGAAGAAGTGTACAATGGCCGAAACGTTGTGATAATGACAACAATGATGGGGACATTAGTCCGCTTGTAAATAACGTAAAATATTATAACGCTTCATCTGAGTAATTCCGAGATTCGATAAATTTATCACGATAACTTTATAATGATAAAACATTGTATTTTTACTTATGAGCTACATTAAGTGTCACTTGTTGATGCAAAAGTGTTCAGCATCATCATTTATGTACTGTTAAAGAAATCTTAGAAGTACCTTGGGTACTACTTGCATTAACTCGTCCGCTTGTAAAAAATACGAAATTAAAAAAAAATATTATAGATTGACATTCATTAAACATTCCTCTAAGCAAGACATTTGTTAGAATCCAAAAATATTGACTTTTATCATTTTAGAAGGATAATCCTGTTTATAATATAAATATAATATCAATTCGATCGCTAATTTTTAAAGTTATCTGTACTTTGGTTTTATTTACACATATCAAGATTGAAAGTGTAATATAACTGCATACTACTGATGTCCTTTTTTTCCCAATTCGGGACAACAATAATACGCAGTTATCAATTTATCTGGTCTGGTGTTCCTGCTGTATATTTAGAAATTCTTGATAAAATCCAAAGAAGAATCAGCAATGTTATTAGTCCTGACTTGGCATCTCGATTTCAGTCACATTTCCACCGCCATAACGTAGCTTCCCTGGGCCTTTTCTATAAATACTTTAGGTTCCAAAGTAATTAACTGAAGAATAAAATTCCAATTTACTGGCATTTCTTTTCAACTTTTGAAACAGAATAATGGAGCTTATGTTAACTTTCTGGAGCGCATGATCATGGGTAATTAGATCTGGGTGCATTACGTCAACAAAGGTTGATTCCTTGACTTTGAAATATCCATTGTCACCGATTATCAAAGATTCAAATTTCAGAAGTCAGTGAAGGTATTGATGGCAACTGTGTACTGAAATGCAAAGGGTGCATTGCTTGTGGACTTCATTAACGCATAGACATAGTTACAAAGACATAGTTACACATTTTGACTCAGAATAACACTATCGTGTGTTTATGTGGAATAATTAATTGTGTATAATTTAGCCTGATAAATGAAGATAATTGACAAAACTGACTTAACAAATAGCAGAAAAATTGACTATAAAATTAAATTTTATACATGATTCCTATCTTTTCTTCTTTACACAAAGTGTGTAGAAACTGTCAAATGTTCTATAGTCTCTCTCTCTCTCTCTCTCTCTATATATATATATATATATATATATATATATATATATATATATATATATAGAGAGAGAGAGAGAGAGAAGAGAATGACTGATTTGACTCCTATCATTGATAGCTATAGAAGCTACTGGCTTGTCAGGTAAGTTAGTTGTGAGGGAATGATTTATATAAATTCTGTTTCACCTACTCTCATTTCTATTAATAATCGTGGTATACCAGTGACGAGACAATTTTAAGATATCTCTGCGATAAGACAGAGGATAGGCAGAAGTGGTTTCAAGCTAAGAACATTACTACCAAATAAAAATAAGCATTTTCAGGCCAAATTCAAACTCAGTTCACCGAAATTGTTTTGAGCGATATATATATATATATATATATATATATATATATATATATATATATATATATATATATATATATGCGTGTTTATATACAACAGGGTGCTGAAAAGATAGATACACTTCCCCAAATCAGACCAAACATCAGACATTTTTATTTTTAAATCTTTTCTTGCTTGGGTCGAATACTTTTCAGAACAGTCCCGCAAGCTTATGCACATGGACGCCTATTGGTGTACGGTGATTAACAACAGCCCGTCTCGGTCATAAATTGATTTGTGAACTGACTTCGATACACACTCATTACTTTGGATTGGTGCCACACGACCCAGCTTCATAAGTAACTTCAATATTGTGTAATCCGGAAATATATGTGAGTTGTAAATACGAACTCTATGGGGAAAGAACAGATGTTCAAGCGTGATGAGGAAAATCCTCTGCAGTAAGACTTCGATATCCACGGAATCGTTTATCCGTGATTGGTTCATTTCTATGTTCAAAACCTTTATTAAACTAAAACTATTTTACTAAATATATTTGAAAAGAAAAATATATAATATCGGTCTTTAATAACAGTAGCAGTTTGAAAAATTGTGTTATCTAGGAAGTGTTTTAACGGAGAATAGAAAAAAGGTGACACCGAAACCCGAAGATACATTGGCATAGCTAAAGATGCTAAGCAAATTATTAAGAAACAGGAAAATTTCATTTGAAACAAAGAAAGATGTACTGAACAGTTGTGTAATATCGGTTTTCCCGCACAGCAGTGAATGTTGGGTAATCTCATCACAGAAGATGAAGAGACTTGAGGTAACAGAAACATAGTTCTACAGAAGGATGCTGAAAGTACCATGGACAACAAAGTTTTAGAGAAAATGCAAGCAAAAAGGACAGGTACTTAGAATCAGAAAGAGACAATTAAATCTTCTAGAGCACATGATGAGAAAAGAGAACTTGGAGATTTTGACACTCAAAAGGCATAGTGAACGCAAGATAGACAGACGCGCCTAACGCGCTTGTGTAAATGGATGGCAGAACAGTGATTAGTAGGGATAGCAAAAAGATAAAACTTATTAAGAGGTACAAAAGAGAGGAAGTTATGGAGAACTATGATCAGCAAGTCTTGACGGGACACGGTACGTAGAAGAAATATTTTGAAAATATAAAAAAATAATCAATTTATGTCATCAAAGTTGTCAATGTCGTTAGGTCCAGAGAAGAAAAAAGCTTAAATGAATAAAATAATGATAAAACTTTGTTCATTGAATGATTTTGTTTAACTAATTTCCTTCTTACAGATGGTGTGACGCGTGAATCATATATATACTGTGAGGGGGAGTTGTATCTCTTCTATTATCCAATGGGCTTACGGTGTATCATTAAATAAAGCTAATGAACGCTAACACTGGTTCTATGACAGCCCACTTTTACGCTATAATTCGTAAAAACTTGTTTTTCATAAAGTCGAACAACTTAAAGAAAAATTTTAAAATATTAATAACTGTTTTTTAAAATAGAATATCAATTTCACGGAAATCATTATGGAGCTTATCAAGATGGCACCCTGTTATTCTCAGATTTCACCGTTAGTGTGTAGTTGTCACAATTTACTGTATATATATATATATATATATATATATATATATATATATATATATATATATATATATATATATATATATATATATGTATGTATATATTTCCTGTTCAGGATTGAGTTTCTTTTTCCTTCTACTCTATACTTCTAACGTCTCTGTCTAAACTAAAATTTTATTTATTATTAATTTTTTTTTTATTTCAATAGTAGTAGATAGGGTCGCCTATCGTCCGGTTCACACTCCTCTTCGGTCTTCTGAACAGAAGTAGGGTTATTCCACTTGTTTCCTGGTCAGGACTGTGTTTCCGGTTCTCTTCATTCTTGTTTACTTCAAGTAGCTCCTTTTATGTTAATGTCATTATCGGACCGAATTGACACACACACACACACACACACACACACACACACACACACATATATATATATATATATATATATATGTATATATATATGTGTGTGTGTGTGTTTGTGTGTGTTCGTATGTGTGTATTAAAATAGGTAAAACACCTGCGAACCGAAACAGAGAAATCATTTCGTTTCTGGTTGCCTGGTATTAGCTCTATTTTGAACTAATTCTAATGTGAAAAGCATAAACTCATTTTCGCCCCACCTCTGTTCAGCTATCAGTTAAAATGATACTGCTAGGGATTGTTAGACGTGTATTATTCATTGATAAGATAGAAAGAAAGTGTGAGAGCGATACTGAACAAGTCTCTCTCACTAAAACCACAGCCGGAGTTGCGACCTAGTCAAACAGATTACTTTTCTTTACTTTTCTATCTTTTTTAACGTTTTCATTTTAAATTGAAGAAAGATTGTGTGCCTGTCCCTCAACCTGAATTCAAGTTGAACTATAAAGAGAGATGGTCTCAGCGTATATAGACTTGAAAGAGAGTGGGGAAAAAATTGTAAATAATTGCGAGTGTGCGTCTGCTCATGCGCACACACTGAGTAGATATCTCTACTTTAGGTGGTTGATTTTGTGTTTGTGTCGTCCCGAAGGTGGACGACCCACTTCTTTCATTTCCTAGACTGTCGCCATGGCAACATCGATTCCATCCAATTGATTTGTAAATTGACAGCACGGAACAGTCTAATGGCCTAAAATAGCGAGAGAAAAGTATTCAAAATGAAATCATCTTATTTGTTGAGGTGACATTACACCAGAGGACGAGAGGGTGAACACCGGAAGTTCAGCTATAATGACTGATTTTCTGGGAAGGAAAAGAATGTACATTATGTTTGTTTTGTATTTATTATGTTGCTTTTATTTTCTTTTATTTGTTACTGGGTTATCATCAAGAAGTAGGTAACATATTAGACTTGGCGACAATGGGTTTTTATTTGAAATTCGTACAGGAATGAGTTGTGTATGCTGCGAGGAACATTTTTAACACATTGGTAGACCCATCTTTAAACTTGAGTCTAAAGACAATAATAATGGCTAAGAACTTTCACTGGGTTAAAATTCCTTTCAGGATTATAAATGACTTTTCTTGGCTAATTTTGTTTTATTAGATCATTGCATTTTCTGAAAGGATACGAACAAATATTATTCTTTGCATCATAAGAAGTCTTTTTGTATCAATGTAAACTTTGCATAAAAAAGTTTTCTTTTCATTTCAGAAAAGATAACACCACCACCACCACCAGCA